ACCCTCAGAGTCGTTATGCAGGAGTGGCCGTTCTCATCTCGACAAAGGTGGCCACCAGCACTCAGGTGCGTCATCAGGTGCATGTGGCCGGAAGGCTTCTGCACGTCCGAGTTCCGATCGGCAGCGGCAGGCAAGCCTCCCACCTTGATCTGATTTGTGTCTATCAGTGGGCGTGGGATGCTGACCCAGAGAAACAGCGAGCTGCCAAGCGCCAGGTCGTCTGGCAACGCCTGGACTCTCTTCTGCGGTCTCTGCCACAGCGCAATTGCAAATGCATTGCTGGCGACTTCAACTGCTCATTGCGTGAGCGGCCCCACTGTGTAGGCCAGCATTTGCATCGCAACACTGCTGGCTACCCAGATGTCGACGATTTTGGCACGCTTTTGGAAACACACCACTTGTGTGCCTTAAACACCTGGACCAGGGCGGCAGCCGTCCCCACATACCTTCAGACAGGCGAACAGGCAAGGAGTGCGCAGATTGACTACATTTTGACCGGACAAGCTTCAGCCGATGCCACAGCGCGCACGGCGCGCACCAGGCCCAAAATCTGGTTCTCACCGTGGAGAGGCGGAGGCAGGCATCATGCAGTGCAGGCCAGCATTAAGCTCCATCAACACTTTTCTCCAAAAAGCGCTCCCAAACCTGTCAGCTTCAGCCGCATGGCGATTCGTGCAGCCTTGCGCCAGCCTCAATCCACTTTGTGCCGACAGCTTACACAAGAAGTCAGCCGGCGACTGCAGGAGACTTCGGAGCCTACGGCTGAGAGGCTGAAAATGGATTGTCTTTGGACTTGGTGTTTTCACGGGGCTTGGTGTTTTGGTTATTCCTGCCTCGCCTGTGGTCGCCGGGTTGGGTCTTTGCTTGGTGGCCGTGCCGTGTGTTGTCGTTGATGTTCATGTTGTTGAGGATGTGTTGTGTGCTGCTGTACAGGCGGGTTGTGACGTTACAGGACGTCTCACACATGTCTAACAATCGGATGTTTCACGAAACCGGGCAGAGCAAAAGATTACCCTAAACTTTCCTAAGCCCCATGCCCTAATTAGCCCGTATTATCATCGTTTCATAGCTCCTTGTGGCGCTGTCGTGGAAATAGGCTTATGAAAAAAACGCACTTACCCTAACCCTAAACCCTACTCCTTACAAGCCCCAAACCCGACGACGATTGAACACGGCATGGCCATGGATCCGTGGCCCGCGGCTGAAGCCTGACTTCTTCCATGCAGCTAGGAGAGTTGTGAGCCACACGTGACCAAATTCGAGAATCAGATCTCATCGTTGTCATTATCATAATGATCTTAGTCACTCAGCAGTCGCCAGCCTTCATCTTACAGGCAGGCGTTGTTGGCTTTGAGAGTAGAGTCTGTGTGAGGGTGGAAAGCATGAAGCGTCCGGCAGCAGCTATGAAAAAGCCTGCGGCATCTTCAAACAACATCACCAAGTACTTGAAGAAGCCGGCAGCGTCGACCAGGACTGAATTCCTTTCCTGGCTTGCTATGCTTCTGCATCATTTGCAGTTCGCTGACAAGTCTGTGTTGAGCATGGCTGTTCTGCAGCTGTTGGCTTGTGACAAACAACTCGTGTGCGTTTATATTGCATATTCACAATCCAACGTGTGACTCTGCCCGGCGCTGTTTTGTAGAATGAAAAACCAATCATGATCATAACTAGTAATCTAGAAGACTTTGCGAAATTCGCACGTACATGTTGTATGCGTCCGATGATGAAGGCCAGGGCTCGGGCACTGGCCCCGAAAAGGGCAAATCTTCGGCTGGCAGCAGCTCCTTGCGTAAACTGCTGGCCCGGGAGTGCCGCTGTTTGCGAAAAACTTGCTTGAGTCAATTCCGATGTTGCCCTGAACTGGTTGAGAGCAAGCGTGCAGAATTTTCCGCCTTGGAGCCAGTGGAGAAGGCGTGCGGGATGCAGGGAGTTGGTTCAGACCTAGGGTTGGGGATTGAGATTTCAAGCATTTTATTGATATTTGGGGTTCCAGATTGCATCACTAGGCCCCATTATGCAGGGATCTTGTTGTTGCAGAGGCCACCTATCTCAACGAATATTTCAATTGTGCAGATGCTGCGTTTACAGTTGATGTGGAAGCAGAGCCCGCCGCAGATGTGATGCTGGCTTCTGATGATGAATCAGTGCTATCAGCAACTTCAGAGTCAGGTGAGTTGTTGGAGGCTTCTGATGCAGAAGATGTGAAGAGGTCTTATCGATCAAGGCGTCGGCGCGAAGCGAGTTTTGCTGGTAAAGCAGTTTGCTGTCGAGCTTTCCGATCTCTTTTGGGCGTAGGCGAAACTACCCTGCAGCGTTTGAGAAGGGGGGAGAATATCTATACAAACAAAACCAGAACCCCACAGCCGAAGCACCCAACCTTTGGTTTCATACTCCGTGGTGAAACAGCTGCCAAATGGATGGGAGTTGTGATGTTCTTGTGGTACACGTACCACACCTCTGCAGAGTACATGCCTGACAACTTTCGAGCTGCTGCCAAAGGATCCTCGTTTCAGGCAGTTGCAGCTTCTGACGATACAGACGTGCAGCTGAGAGCCGTGAACAGCTTCATGAAGACTTTGCACACACTCAGCTCCGATGTAGATGTTCACAACATTGGACCGGGAACATTCGCTGGGGAGAGACGTTTTCTCCCATTTGGATGTCGCTCAGAGATGTATTGGCAGTACCGGGCATATTGCGAGTCAAACAAGGAATCTTGTGCAAGCTACACGACATTTATGCGGTTGGCCAAGAAAGTTCTTGGTGTGGGCCAGAGGGAGAGTCACTTGAAGTTCAGGAAGGTCAACGAGCATGCAAAGTGTGATACATGTGTTCGTTTAAAGCATGCCATGAAAGCAAAGCTTGGAGTGGGCAAATCTCGAGAGGACCAACAAAAAACGTACATGCAACATCTTTTATCCCAGTGGCTGGATCGGCAACTGTACTGGCAGTTCAGGACGATGTCACAAACCTTTTTTCGGCAACACCTGATGCTGGGTGACAGGCCTGCTTGGGTCCACATTTTGGTGTTTGATGTCGCCGGCAGTAGATAGTCAGTTGATTATTAGTCTAGTTCAGTAGGACTGTAAAGTAAAAACTCCATTGCAGGATCATGGCCTCTTCCATCGGTACTTCACTCATGACACTGATGATCGACGGTATGGATCAAAGTAAATATAAAGTTCCCAGGATAAGGGACCAGTCTTCAAAGCTCCTGGGCCGGCTTTTCCGGCCGACTTTGCATGTGGCAGCTTGCTGGCTGCATGGGCGATGCTTGAACTTCTTTGTGGCGGATGAATGCTTGAAAAAGAACTCAGAAACACAACTGGAAATGCTAGGGAGAACCATTTCCGAAGTGATGGATTCCGGCATGCGGCTTCCTTTTGGGCTGGCTTTGCAACAAGACAACACGTATCGCGAGGGTAAAAACCAGTACGTCATCGCCTACCTTTGTTTGTTGGTCTGCTTACGGGTCTTCCGGTATACGGTCGCAAGTTTCTTGCGACCAGGCCACAGCTGCTCACTTGGTATTCAGCAGTGTTGAGACTAGTCTCCATATGCAATCCCCTGTGTCGCCACCGGCTTCGCGCAAAACTCTCCATGATCTGAGGCCATGAAGACCTGGACCAGGTCTTCTCGCAGCAGAGTGCATTCATTGGCCGTCACTGCTTTGATTCCGCTTCGGAGGTTGTGCAGTTGATAGACTCCACATATCGGCCAGATGATGTTGGGGAACGGGAAAGGAAACGAGCCAAGACTGCCAGCGTTACCATGACATGCGTCAAACTGGATTCTGTGGCATTGTGGCAGGACTGGGTTGCTGTCCTGGGTTTGCGCTTCAAGGGGCTGCGAAACTAGCTTGAGTTGTTTAGAACCGCATTTTCTTTCTTGGAAGATTCTCAGTGTTGGCTTTGTTTTCAGCGATTGCTGCTGCTTTGTAGTGAGCAGCCAAGGCAAAGTCGGCCAAGTTCGTTTCTGTCTTCGTGGAGACCTGGACCCTTCTTCTTATGGCGGGTGTGTGCCACATGAGCTCACAGGATGTGAACCGAGCCCTGAAGACATCATGCTTCTTGCAAAACGGTTTATGGCAGATGCCACGCCGTACTATGTGGCGTGTGTTGTCTCAGCTCAACGAGCGGCAGACCTGCGAAGCAGCTTTCAGCAGCCCACAGGTACGGCTGATCGCCGAGCGATCAGCCCGAAGGTTCGTAAGAACATCACTGCTCTAGCACCGAAATGTGTAAATCAGGGCATTTTGAGCCGCGAGGCAGAAGCCTACTTGACCAACTGGTGCGAAGGGACTTGGCAAAAGCAGCCGAGGCCTGTCTCTTACAGTCACTTGGAATACCGCAGGCCCGACGATCGGGTCTTCGGCGTGAATGCAGTGGGCTCTCGCATGCCTTGGCGAAAGCCTCCCCGTAGCCGTGTGATCAACTTGCGTTCGAGCGCAGAACGTGGATCTGACGATGAGGCGTCGGACCACGATAATGCAGAAGTGGATTTCGATGCCCAGACTTAGAATGCTGGGAATTGAGCCTCGTGAAGTGTTGGCTGCACCTGCTTGCAAATCTGTGGAAAAGACCTTGCCATCAACTTCTGTCCATTGATTATGATTGCGGCCCATGCAGACCCCTCTCCAAACCTTGATTGAAAAAGACATGTTTTGCAGGACCAACGACGAAGCGGACGACGAGATCCTTGCTGCCAGTGACGATGAAAGGCTTGCCCCGCATTTTTGTTCGTGCCAGCCAATCCCCGCATCTTGAGCATGCTGGTCAGGATGCAGCTGCATGCTCGTTCAGACCGCGAGGATACCGATGGTGACATTAAGTCCCCTTCGGTGTTGCCAGCCACAGACGATGAGGATGGTCAAAGTGCAGCTCCTGGGTCCGATGCCTCCGGTGGCGTCTCTCGCCGTAGCATTCTGCGTAGTGTAGTACCCTAACCATAGTAGTTACGAGATTCCGTTTTTCAGAGCGGGCAAGGTCGGTTTTTGGGCAATGGATCAATTGGCCAGAAACCGCGAGCTTGCCAAGATGATCAAAGACAGCCTCACCCAGGCAGCGTGCAACGGTGAAGAGGTCAAGGTGGGCTCCTTGTGTTCCGGATGGGGTGTGGGTGAAATGGCCATTGATGCGCTTAACAATGCTGTGGCGATGATCGAGCAAGCTGCTGAAACCCCAGGTTCTAGCCCGGCCAAGGCCTGGTTGGAGTTGTTGAGTCTACTTCATCGTGGTCTGGGTTTTAGGATTATGCTCTCAGTCTAGCTGTAGGGATTCGGGTTTAATTCAAGGGTCGAGGGTTATAGAGTCTAGGATTTACCTTAGGGTTTTGGTTAATCGCTCTCTGCCCCCTGCAGCTGCGGGTGGTGTGGATGTGCGAGCAGACACGATGGAAAGCTGAGCAGCTTCATCGTTCGTTTCCACATGTGAAGCACATCTTCTCCGATATGAAGGATTTGGCCTGTGGTCGTGCCTACGACTATATCACCCAAGCATCTGCGGACGTGGAGAGCGCAGCTAGGCTGCTTATCTGCTGGTGCCCGGCTCACCTTTTAGCTGCTGCTCTGATTGTGTGGACCCGGCCTAAGGTGGATGGCATCCTCGCAGGATACCCATGCAAGTCCCTCTCCTTGCAGAACAATGAGGCCAAGTCATTTACGGACAAGAGCTCCAGCACGGGAGCTGGATTTTGTGCACTTATGAAGTATGTAGATCGCCACCTGAGCACCTTGCAGTGGATCATCACAGAGAATGTGGCAGAGATGTCAAACCAACGGAAGAAGTTCAAGGATGAAGTGCCCATCAAAATCCAATCCGATGCTTTTGCAAAACGAGGTTTCCTTGGATGGAGTTCGGTGTTGGATGCCCAGTCCTACGGCTTGCCCCAAAGCCGCAGGCGGACTTGGGCAGTTTACATCCGTGAGAACTTAGTGAGGACGGCCCGAGTTTCTTTGATGTTCGCTGTTGTCCGATGCAGCCCTTGTTCGTTGGATGTTGCTTGTCGCTGTGCACAGGAGCCAGGATGGACCATTGGGGGTCATGGACCGACTTCGCTCCCCGGCCGTGTCTGGATGTATGAATAAGTTTCTGCAGCCACCCTCCACAAAGATTTGTGAAGTCACGAAAGGGCAGGCCCAGGCAAAAGGCAATGCGAAGTGGAAGAAGACCTACAAAGCCTTCGACGATGAAACCAAGGCTGCGAGTGCATTCTTGTGAGGTTGTGGTTTTTGGGGCTTGGGGATGCTTTGCGCGTAGGGTTTTCGCTCCAAGATGAAGGGCCCCAGCCCCCACCCCCTCTGTTGCCACCCCTCTCGCGATGCCCCTCTCAGTTCCCGAAAGATTGTGGGTTACCTAGGTAGGGTTTAGAGTTTGTTTTGGGCAGGCCCACATGGTCCGCACCGAGCTGAAGCTTCGCGACAAAGGCTTGGCCGTCACCGAGAGGGAGATGATGGTTTTGTGTTATGGTGTGTCCAAGCTTGAGAAGCTGGGTCGAGACCCATTTGCAGAGACGTTGCTAGTGCAAGTGGAGTTTCAGCTGCATATGCTTGCATGTTTCTATTGTGTCAGCATGTGGAGGCCAGCACGTTTGTTGCATCTGAGATCATCTGAGCCAAGGATCAAGCTTTCAATCGCCAGATCTTTTGTCGAGCCAATCCCACGGTGGTGCCGTGCCTTCTCCCAAAGGGCAAGTACATAGTGACAGGACGATGGACCGTCTTGTCTGGCCAGGACCCCGGGCCCTTAACGTTGAACCCTACACCTTAAGTCGTCCCTGTCGTGTGGAAAAGAGAGAGAGTCGCGGAAGGAGAAAATGGCGTTGCAGGGGATATCTCCTTCTGAGATGGAGACCTACAGCTTCACCGAGCTTTCGGACTGGAAACAGTCAGATCTTGCCGGCAATGCGTGGGCTGCTCAGCCACAGGGCTCATGGCTGGCGGAAGAGATAGTCTCCAAAGTGATTGGGGGTAAGCGTTTGCTGAGAGAGTGTGAGAGAGAGAGAGAGAGAGAGTGAGAGTAAGAGAGAGAGAGAGAGAGAGAGAGAGTAGAGAGAGTCAGAGAGAGAGACAGACAGAGAGTGTGTGTTTTTGTTTGGTCGGTTGGTGGGCCGTGTGCGTGTGCGTGCGCGTGCGCGTGTGCATGTGCGTGTGCGGGTGCGTGCGCGCGTGTGGGTGTGTGTGTGTGTGTGGTGTGTGGGTGTGTCAAATATAGACTCTAAGGCATGACCCCCCTAGAAACCCCGCTGGTTCATGATTGGCTGTCTGCAGGTTTGCCGCCACCGTCTGTTTCAGTGTGCTGGCGTCCACGCTGACAGTGTGGCTGCCGCAGAGACATTGAGCCAAGGACTTTGCTAGCTGCTAGTTGTCTGAGACAAATTCAAAGCTGGGCCCCGGGGAGCGGCTCCAGTCTGACTTGCTGAATCTGAATCATCATCAGATGAGAGCGAGCCCTGAAAATCACCGAGCAGTTGCAAATGATAATTAGGTTCACTGCTTGTTCGAGCTCATGTCATGTAGCGCTTGTAATGCTTCTACGAGTCAGAGCATTTCTTCATCGAGCGCCCCGTGGTGCTTGTCGCAAGTTTGCAGATGCCTCCAAGAAAGAAGCAGCGAACCTCGGGTCAACGATCACAGGCCATAGCCGCCGGTGAGGCTACAACCCGAGCAGCTAGTGACATCAAGGATGTGAATGATTTCCAGCTGAAGCTGGATGCATGGATCGATGCTACACATGGTTTGCGCCATCATGTTGAGAAGCAGCTTCCGTGTGAACCGACGGAACCTTTGGGCTTCGGACCCCAGCCCGGGCAATTTGCCTGGCCTTTGTGTGAGGGCGGGACTCTCAAAGATGTTGCTCAAAGAGCATGGTCCGACCCGGATCACCTTTTGGCTTTGAGTGCACGAACGACACATGCGGCAGGTTTGTTGGACACGGATAGTGTTGAGGACTTCAAGACCCACTTCTGTACGATTCCAGATACTTGTCTGCATTTTGCTTTGGGGCTCTGTGCGTCAGACTACTTGGGCCTTTGAGGTCAAACTAAACAGGAAGGGTACGTTTAGGTTTGGAGTTAGGGGTTTGGGGTAGGCTTTGGGGTTCAGGGCTTCTGTAGTTGATGGTTTTGGGACAGGCGTACTGATGGTGTTTCCTTAGTAGGCAGGGTTTGGGTTCTAAGGGTTGGGCTGGGGTCTTTCCGGTGCCCCGTGCCTGGTGACCCTTCCAAGGCCCGAACGTACACTCCCAATAGGGAAGGGTTCTAGGGTTGGGAGTCACTTTGTTCCAGCATTTACTGTCTAGCCCGTCTTGACAGGAATGGCCCCCGACTGCGGGGAACTTCTTCAACACCTGCGTCCTATCCTGGTGCATGGCTGATGAAAGCTTCTGGCGAGGACCCGCCGTGAGCATGTCAGAGGTGGTTGGGTACAGCAGGAGCATGGCCCTCACAAGGTTCCGTGAGGCCTGAGATGACGAAAGTTATGAGTTCATCATCTTTTATGCCCGGTTATGCTCCTGTGATCAGCAATAGGACACCTTCTCGGTTGCATTCTTGCAATTATGTTGTTGGCAGAATTGCGGAAACCTTGTTTTTCCCCTACAAAACCGCATGCTTGCCGAGAGGTGTTGGGATCATTTGTTGGGTTTTGCAAGAACAGGAGGCCGGGATGCGGACGTGAGTTTTTCGGGGCACCAAAATCCAAAATAATTGGGGTGCGGCATGGACATTAAGGGACTAAGCGGTGGGTTGTAGAGTCAGATGCCCTCGGCTTGGGTGTGGGGCTGTCCCAACATGCTCAACCCGACGACCTCACTGAGGATCTAGGGTTGAGGAGGGTTTACGGGGGGCCATCCCATGGCAAGCCACCATAAAGCACAATAAATGAAAAAGGTGCCATGTGACCTGGACCCACTCTCAACCCTACCACCTCACTGAGGTCCTAGGGTTGAGGGTTGTTGGCATTGACCGTGGCCACTCATAGCCGCAACCCTCCCGCAACTTTTGCAACCCTACCACCTCAGCGAGGTCCTCAGCGTGAATAAACCCTCCGTTGTCGTGTTGGTGCTCAACCCTACCACCTCAACGAGGTCCTCAGCGTGAATAAACCCTCCGTTGTCGTGTTGGTGCTCAACCCTACCACCTCAACGAGGTCCTCAGCGTGAATAAACCCTCCGTTGTCATGTTGGTGCTCAACCCTACCACCTCAACGAGGTCCTCAGCGTGAATAAACCCTCCGTTGTCATGTTGGTGACCAGCCCTACCACCTTAGCGAGGTCCTCAGCGTGAGATTTCCCTCCGTTGTCGCGTTGGCCCAGAGAACACTCGTCAGGCTCCCAGTGAACCAATCCGTCAAGTGCTTGACAATGATGACCTACGATTATAAAAATTATTATTACTACTACTAGTCTAGAAAAGCTTTCGCTAGGATCTGTGAACACCAGACAAGGTATTCAAAATCGCTTGTTCGTCCCAGTCCAGCAAAAGCCCGAGCCAAACCCAATTGATCAGTGGTTTTCTGTGTCGTTGCCAGGGGGAGCAGATGGTGCTGCGAATGCCGAGCAGCACCGATGCTACAGTGGATTCCAGCAACAGAGCTGTGGGCACACTGCTTTATGGGGATGGGTCACAGAAGATGCTCGCAGCCTTCACCGCCTGGATCGGCTTGTTGTCGCTTTGGGAATCTGAGCCGAATGTCTTTGACAATGATCAGGTTCAAGGTTTGATAGCATCATTCTTGAGCATTCCTACATGCACGAAGTCATCTGTGGAAAGCAATGACAGCCTGACGGCTACGATTGGCCGCATTGTGAAGCAAAACATCGATTCAAAGGTCCTTCCTGTTTCTTCGTTCCAGTGGAACTCCATTTTGCGAAGTCTCAAAGTGGAGGTCAAGCTGGATGTGGCTTTGAGGGTTTACAACTCCCACCCAGACGTCGTGGCACATGATGAAAGCGGCAGCGGCTGCGTGACGTTGGACAATCGGAAGAAGCAGGGCGTCCAGAATTGGTTCGAGCGAACGTGCGATGAAGCATTGGCTGTGGTACTTCAGTCAACACATGACCTGGCATTTTCTTATGGATGCTTCGGGGAAAGCTTCTCGCTGTGCAACTTCGCCTTTCTCGGGAGTGCAGCGAACCTTATGGCTTCAGAGACAGCAGACTTGACCATGCGCCCCCTCGACAAGGAGCCTTTTGTGTCTGTTGTTACTTGGCGAAGATAGAAGATACACCATTGCATGCGGTTCTGAGCGAGCTTGTTTTGCATCCTGCCGGATCAGTCCAAGGACTGGCGCTTGCCAATGACGGCGAGTGCCCAGGTCCTTCTCTTCAAACGAGTGCAGGAGACTCGACCCGAAACGTATAACCAAAACCCCCAAAACCCTAAAGCCTCGTATAAACCCTAAACCATTCAACCAGAGGAGCAGTTCGACCGGACGACCACCGGCATCCCTGTGAACCAGAGGAAGAAGTACAGGCTGACCTCTGAGGATCTCGTCAAGCTCAGAAATTGTTGCGTGTTGTTCGAGCAGTGCTTCCACTTCCTCGAAGCACAGGTGGGCAGCGAGGCAGTGTCGTGGAGAGAGTCGTTCATCAACGGCCACGACGAGGATTGGAGGGTGCTGCTGGATGTTCGACCATCGACTGTGGCCTTGAGTATGCTGCAGTCTGTGCAAGAGAAGGCCCGAGAGACACTGCTGCAGAAGGAGAACATCGCAATGAAAGATGTGGAGGACCAAAGGCAGCAAGTGTTAGAGGCTGAGTGGAAGCTCTTCTGCTCCGGCTTGAAAAAAGACCAGGAGACCGTGAAGCTTGCATCTGATGCTCCTCGCCAAGTCAAGATGCTGCAGCATGCTCGCGAGGTGGAGCAGAGGAAAAGCCAAGCTGCAGATGGTCTCAAGGCAGCTTCCGGGTACCAGGCGGGGTCAGATATTCCAATCAGAATCAGTGTTTAGGGGTCAGCGGTGTCCCCTGCGTTCGCCCGAGGCCAAAAGAGGATGCTAGTTCAGGGCGCTCCGTTCCGTTTTGGCGCTGTGGTGGTGCCCCCTGCGTTCGCCCTATGGTGCCCCCTGTGTTCGCGGCCGTTTCTTGTGTGTTGGCCGAGTAAGATTATCGTTGCGCTGCGTAAAGTAGAAGAGAATCATTATATTATCCCACGCATATGGATACGGCTATGGGGAGTTTTGGTATGGGACCACAGTTGTTAGTTTTGGGTTTTATTGGGTGGCCCAAACCAGGTCTTTTCAACCCAAGCGAGAGCTTCATTGGGTTGAAAATATTAAATGGAGCCTTGTCAGGGGCTTGTTTTCCAACCGAGGGTTTTGGGTTTGTGCGACAGCAGGAAGCATACCTTCGAGTCGTGAAGCTGCCCAAGATGGAACTTGCAACAGCGGAAGTGTCCAAGATGAAGAGCAGTATCGCATCTTATCTGAGTTGGTTGTGGGATGATGCTTGCTACTGCTAAAGACAATGATCTGATCTGCGAGTCCCAGTGAACATGTTTGGGCATGCTTCATGCTCGCTGGCGTTCTTAAACTCTTGTTGAGGAAGATTGACTTGCGCTAATTGAGGCAGCTGAGCTGGCATGCTCCCGAGAGACTATTTCCATCCTTGGGTTCGCAGACATGAACGTGCCAAAGTGCAGGCAGAAGGAGGTTTGCCAGAGCATTTGCAATGGGATCGCTGCCATCAATGCAGATGGCCCAGCCGAGCAAAATGCGACCCTGCTGTTGCTGCCAGACCTTCCCCGCGACTCGAGTCCCAGAGGGTTGTGGGACGAAGAAGAAAGGGTGTTCGAAGCCTTGTTTTCCTTGCAGCAACACGTGGAGACAAGATTCGTTGAATGCTTCACACGTGAGAAAAAGGGCGAGGTGAAATCCAATGCGAGGCGTTTCTCTATGGGGAGAGTTGTGTGCAACAGTGCTTCCATGGACGATTGCATTTGGATGAGTGGAGAGCTCGCAATGTATGGACGACCCGTGGGAGCTGCTGAGGTAGAAACCGGAGCACCGACGAGTGTGC